TCTGTACATGGATTAGAACTTCAGTACAGAAATCTTATTTGTAATTTTATATAATTGTATAGTTATAATTATAGAATTCTATTACCAATGAATTGTTTTTTCATCTCTAATTTAACTGTTCCCAGAAAGAATAGAATCTATTAAACTCTTTACATCGATGCTGTATCACTAGATGAAAAAAATCTAGTTTCTACTTAGCATTGTTCGTGATTGGCATAGAGAAAAATATGGTAGATTTCTCCCTTATATGAGCTTTTTCAGGTTTTAAAAGTATTATATCTATAGAAAGAAATCATTTCAACCAGAAAACTTTTATTTTCCACACTTAGGTTGCCAAAAGCCATATCATCCTTCCCATCTTCTCAGTTCTCTGATTACCCGAGTTGCCTAAATAAGAAATTGCAGGCATCTGCCAGCACCTTATATAGTCAAAGATTTTTTGGCTAATTCTATTCCCACAGAGACTGCCCATTTAGTGGCAACAAGAAGCCAAAGGAAGAGATGTGCAGTTCAAACAGGGAAGAATCCTTCTTCTCCAAAGTTGATTTGGGGGAGCCCTCAAGCCTAACCTAGGACTAAGAGGGAAAATAGAGTACAGTGACTAGGATAGCTGGAAAAGACCCATGAATCAGGACAGAACTAAATAAAGGAGAAATTACATTTGTAACCTCATTGGCCCAAGTAATAATATGTAATTACTGTTCCTACTATTAAAAATGCTATCAGACAACATTTTTTGAGTACTTAACCTGTCCCAGGCACTAAGCTAAATTGATTACATTTTACAAGTGTGATCCTAGTAAATTCTCATCATGACACTACTGGGAGGGCACAAATACATCTCCATTTTACAGATGAGAAAGTCAAAGCAACCAAGAGGTTAGGTAACTTCTATTATGATCATATGGCCAATAAGGGACAGAATCAGAATTCAAACCTGTCATGACCCTGTGCTTTCTACCACTTTCTATTCTTTGCGAAATTCAGAAATAAGAAGTTTTTCTGTTTCGACAATAGACCCCAGGTAGAAAAATTGGAATCAACCATGACCAATCTATCACTAATAAGGCAGAACCTGCTCTTATTAGTTGTTCAGTGGCTATTTCTAATAAATGTAATAAGCACTGGGAAATGAACTTCCCACAACAAAAGCCAGAACCTTGATCCAACTACATCCAATTTCTCAGTCTCCAGCATCCCAGTCCCCACACTCCACCGATGTGAGATAAATGTTATCCTGATTCCTGTGTTCATGAATCCCTCGGTTCCCTTTAAAGTAGTATTTCGGCATCTACATGTACCCCTTACAGAGTATATATTTCAGTTCAGTTGTTTTTAACTTTGATTCATCTATGTAATTTCATGTCTCTGTAGTTCCCTGTCTTTGACTCATGACCAACATCTATCACATGAATATTCATTAACCCACAGTCTTATTGGTGGGTGCTTGGGCTGCATCTTGGGTTTTTTGCTGTGATGAACAATGCAGTTACACATTTTTAAGTACATGTCTCCTGCATATTGATACATAAGTTTCTTTTGAGTATATACCCAGGAGTAGAATTGCTTGGGGAGGGGCACCTGGGTGGCTCAGTCGTTAAGCGTCTGCCTTCGGCTCAGGTCATGATCCCAGGATCCTGGGATTTAGCCCCATTATCAGGCTCCCTGTTCAGCGGGAAGCCTGCTTCTCCCTCACCCATTCCCCCTGCTTGTGTTCCCTCTCTCGCTGTGTCTCTCTCTGTCAAATAAATAAAATCTTAAAAAAAAATAAAAAAGAATTGCTTGGGGAAAGGATATATGCTGTTCAAAGAGATAATGTCCAACTATTTTCCAATGAGATTGCACCAATGCACGCTCCTATAGAAAGCAAGGAGGTCCTATTGATCCTCATCATTTCTACTCCTTGATAATACAAGACTTTAAAGCTTTTGTCAATCACCCGTGTATAAAATAGTATTTGTTGTGGTTTGAACTTTCCCTGACCACTAATGATGTTGATCTTCTCTTCATTAGTGTGTTGGCTAAGTATTTCTCTTACTCTCTAAGACCCTGACCCAAGGGCCACATCGTTGCTGGAGAAACTGCCTCCATTTTAGTCTTGGCTTTGGAAACTTTAGCATTAATTCCAGATCGCAACCCCATTTTATCACCTAACAACTGCTTAAAGATTGCCTTACTGCCTTTAAATTTTTCTAATGTCTTTTTGTTAAAACTCATCAACCTATTTATTTATGGTTAGATATTTCTATCTACAGTCAAACTCACAGGACCTTTTTACATAGTTAAATTACGTTGCAAAGAATCCTTGGTTTTTAGTACCAGATTTCCCAAAAGCACATGAATTTCTAGGGGCCAGCAACAATCACTACGAAATGTGCCACAGATCAAAGGCATGGTACCTGCTTTCAAGGCCGGCTTGTGAAGGCTAACAAGTAGAGGAGAGCTTTTGCCTTTATAAGGGTGTCATAAACAGTCTTGCATTTGACAGGAAGTTGTCATACAAATGCTATTTTAAAGTCTGGGGATATTTAATTGTACCCTAATCACTATTCTTTATAGTTCCAGGTGCTGGTGTCCACAGCTATTGTCCAAAGTAAAACAGAAACAAATCCGGTAGCAGGAAGCCAGAGCCCACTCTGCAGGCACCTGTTGCAATTTGAATCACAAACGGTGCTTGCAAGACCATGCGCATGGATGCCAGCAAGAGGGCAGCAAGTGTAGCCAGTGACCCTGCCTCACTAACACAGAAGGATATTACAACTTGGCCTGCTGCCCCCAGTGCCGCAGGTGGCTCTGGAAGCAAAGGAAGAAATGAAAAAGAAAAAAAAAATGACATATGTCGTAAGAAATGGAACACACCTAAAAGGGAAAAAGTGAGTAAGGAAAGAGAGACTTCTAGCAAATAAGCAGAATTTCTTCATTTTCCCACAGATGCCTACTACAAAAATGCATAGTGGGGAGCATTCGCAACAGAGAGAAACGTGTAGAAGTAGTCTGAAACGCCCTGAACAGAAAAATTGGACTTGAACTTGGAGAAACAGATGAAATGCCTCTGAAGTTAGTGTAATCCAGTTTTTCCTCAACGGTCTTGGGTAGTAATATGGTCCAATCACTGTTACTTTCTCTCATCCAATAAAAAGGCTCAGGCCTGTTAATGATCACCTGGCTATTTCGGGAGTCCCCAGGTATACATAATCAAGTCTTCTCTAAAAATTGATAAGTTACTGAATGCAGATAGACTTCTTTCTTCTATTCCTAATCAGGGCCCCATTACCTGGGTATCACAGGGCACCTTGACCACCTCTACTGAGTATCTTAGATTCGTCAGGTACTGCTGCTTTTTCTGCTGTATACTGTCTGATTCAAAAGACACTGGTCTCAATTTCACTGGATCTTTAAGGGACTGAGGTTAACTTAAACTTTGAAGTGGAAGAAAACATCTCTCTCTAAATGTCAAAATCTTTAGAACTCTTAGTAGGAAATATAGTTTTAGACTTTCAAGTAACAAAGAATATAAAACACACAACATGCTAACTTTTAAAAGCAAAAAAAAGGCCTAAATTTGACCTTATTAAAATTAAGGAATTGAAATTAAGAAATTTCCGAAGAGGAACCTTAAGTAGAATGGAAAGACAAGTTAAAAACTGAAAGAAGATATGTGAAACACACACAACCAACAAAGGATTAGTATCAAGAATATATAAAGGAGGTCAATAAGCCAAGAGAAAAGTGGAAACAACCCAATAGAAAAATAGACAAAAGCCATGATCAATCTCTTCACAGAAGAGGAATTGCTTCTGGCCAATAAATACATGAATGGATGTCCAACTTCAGTTCAGAGAAATAAAAATTCAATGTCACAATGGAATATTGTTTTATACCTATTTGATTGGCAACAATTGAAGAGTCTGATAACACCTCATGTTGAAGAAGATATATCCACAAAGCATTTTTTTAAATATTACCGGTTGGAATGTAAGTCAGTAAAGCTATTTGGAGAATGTTTTGGCATTAGCTCCTAATGTTAAACATTCTCATACCCTGCGATCCAGCTGTTTCATTCCTAAGCATATACTCAAGAGAAATTCTAAACATGTTTATCAGGAGATATATACAAGAGTATTCATGGTTCACAATAACAAAAATCTGGAATATGCCCAAATGCCCATCAAAGAGAGAGTAAAGGAACAACCTGTGATATAGTCATGATGGGATATGAGACAGAAGAAAATGAACATGCAACAATATGGATGAATCTGAAAGATTATCTAAGGCTGATACCCTTTTATATAAAGTAAAAAAAAATAAAAATTATGCTACTAAGAAATATGTAGAGATTAGCTGAAAGAATATAAAAAAGGATAGCAAGAGATTAATGAATACAGGATTTAGGATGTGGTTACCTCACAGAAGAGGAAACAAAGAATAAGATTGTGGAGGACCACTGGCTAGATGAAAGCTATGAGGTAGTAGGTTCATGGGTGATTACTGCATTATAAAATTAATTCAATTAAATAAGTGCCTCATAGAGACAATGATGTGTATGTGTCACGATCCAAGGATTATATTTAATCCAATTCTAGGCAAAAAAAAAAAAAAAGGTTCTGTTCTTTTTTTATTACACATTGTTAGTTATGCAACAAAGCAGTGCCGAGTCTTCTAGAAGAGAACTTGCAATCATTTACCTGAGATCTTCTCACCTTCAACCCCATGGGAACAGTAGACACAGTGGAGCTGGAATAAAAGACCTCTTTGATCAATAATTAATACACACTGAGGACACTAGCCAAGCTTGCTGTGCTGAGCAGCAATTTCTATTGGATGAGCTCTCCATAAGGAGACTTCTGTCCCTGACAATCATGGAAATGGACCCACCCATGGACAGGCATGCTCAGAGGGTGTGAATGCAAGAGTCCATCCAACTTACCTCATTACGCTGCACTATGAGTGAGAGAAGAGCCAGAGTAACAGAGAACAAGGTCTACAGAATAAAAGACCCATTGTGGAATAGTCATTCTCTAGTCACTGGCCATGCTTCAGTTTTCACATGGTTCATTTTTTAACCAACCCTTTTATTGACCTTATAAACCACTAAGTTGAATGTATTGTTTAGGAGAAGTATTTGAACAGAAACTCTCTTGGTGTCCTGACTGGAAAGAACAGATAAGCCCTGTTTGTCATGGGATAGCAATACCCTACCCTGGGAAAGCTTATCGCCCACAGCACCTAAAAATTTGTTTCCATGTGCTCCTAACAAAAACAAAACAAACAAACAAAAAAGAAATATTTACTGTGAGATTTATTTCTGCCTATAAAAATAAAAATTTCAAATACTGGGAGAAGTATAAATTAAAATATTAAAAATATCCATTATCCCTCAGCATGGAAGAAAAAAAAAACCTATAGTTATCTTCTGGTTTCTTTTATTCCTGTTGTTATTTTTGTTTTTTCTTAATTTATACACACACACGTTCTTTTTTCTTGCTTTCCTGTGCTTTCCACCCCCTCTAATATTCAGATCACATTGTTTTGTATCCTGCTTTTTCTTTAACTTAAGAATGTATTATTAGCATTTCATTTTGTCATTATTCTTAGGAACACAACTCCTAAAGAGTGCATAATAAATAGGCCATGATACGATCTATCACATTTTATTTAATTATTTTCCTATTGTTGAATCTTTGTTGTTTTCCCAATATTATAAGACACAGTGCACAATGAATATACTTGCGCCTAAATCATTGTATACATCGCTTATTATTTCCTTTGGATATATTCTTAGAAAGAGAATTTCTGGATCAAAGCACAAATTTTTAAGGCTTTTAAAATATATATTCTAAATATTCCTCCAGAAAGCAATATTTATTTATATCCCTACCAGCTGTGAATAAAGTGCCTCACAACACAGAGCATCATAATTTTTAACTTTCTTATAATTTGATAGGAGAAAAATGATATCACCAATTTTTTTTTTTTGCATTTCTCTGGTGAGTAAAGATTGAATTTGTGATGTTTATTAGTCATGTGTGCATTTTTTTTTTCAGTTAACTGTTTAATAGCTTTACTCAATATATCGGTATTGTCCTATTTTTTGTATTTGATTTATAAGAGTATTTTATATAATGATGGTAACATAGTCTGTTGTATATGCTGCCAATATTAAATGCCTTTCTGCTATTAAAAGTCAATTAATATTTTTTACAGACACACAAAGGTTCTAAAGGTTCTTTATGTCGTCAAATGTAACAATCTTCCCTTTGAGGTTTCTTTTTTTTTTCCCTTAGAAAGCTTATTTCCATGAGATCAAACAAGTAAGAACCTGTATTTTCTTTCAGCTCCTTAATAGTTTTATTTTAGTGTATAGCTATTTTATCTACCTTGATCTATTTTATGTATATTACATGAGAATCTAGCAGGATTTTTATTCAAATAATTAACCAACTGTCCTGACGTCATTTTTTTGAATATTCCTCAAAGTGATTTGGGATGTCATCTTTATATATACTAGATGATCTTTTATGATACGATCTATTTCTAGACTACTTTGATTCACCGAGAAAGAGGCTCAAAATGCAGATTAAGACAGAATAAAATTTATATTCATGCCATATTTATAAGGTGAGTTCATTTTGTTTAGAGATTTTATGCACTAATTATCAATTATTGATATATACTAGAACTAGTTATTCATTACCTATATTAATGGAGTGGACTAGCATGTTTTAATAAAAATATTACTAAAATCTCATTTTAGTTAATTTCTCTGACTTCTTTCTCCTTGACCTTTTCATCAGTGCAATCAGAAAAAAGCCAAAGGGAAAGCTTCAGATTTTCTCTCTCTCTTTTTTTTTTTTTGGCATGCTTTTGAAAAGGTGACAACAAATCCCAGACTGGCTGATGATATATCCAGAGACCCCTCAGACCTATATAATCCTCACACTGGAAGACAGTACCCAAAAAGTCAAGGGCAGAAACTGTAAAGCTATCTATCTAGTATTTATTTTACATTCTTTTCTTTAGAATTACATAAATACAAAATCTGAGAATAAACTGTAGCACTTCAATTGCAAAATCATTGTTGTGGTAAAATATGAAATTACAAAATGAGTAGATTCAACAAGTCACTCCCTCTGCAGGGAAGGAATCCCTTCTACAACACTCCATGGTCAATGGACATTTTCTTTTGCACAAACATTTAATGACAGGAAGCTTTCCGTCCAACACCCAGATGCTGGAGTGAAACCTAAAAAACAGAAATTAGAAACTTCAACAAAATGACCCCAAATTTGCTTAAAGGCAATTGATGCTCTGTGATCCAAAATAACTCTCAAAATAATTGCCAATGTGTTTAATGACATTGCAATATTGGGGGTTCCAATATAGCGCCTTGGGGATGAAAAGAAACGCAATCGCCACCATCAATACTAACAAATATTTCAGCAGCACAGATGACAAGCAAGGCTCTGAATAAGACATGGAATTCAAGGAGCCCAAGACAGAGGCCTTGCCCTTGAGTAATTAACGATCTAATTAAGTGGTCAAGGCACGTACACAGTAGTAACACAAGGTCAGGTGGAATCGATGCCAAACAAGTTATTAGAAGAAATAAAGCTTCACTCTCTATGTTTTGTGAACAAATTCATTTGTGGTTCCAATTTGCTTCCAACCCTTACTTTGCTTTTGTCTAAATATTCTGACCTTTGTATTTCTTTAGCTTTGCTGAATTATGTGCATCTTATTCAGCCATTTTACATCCTTTAGAGACAAGGTGAAGGTACAGTGGCTCAAAGAACCCAGACCAGCTGTTACAAGCCAGGATACAAACAGCTCATCCATCAGATTCTGTAAGTCCCCCTCTGGCTCGGGGCAAGCCCTAAAGCTCTAGTCTCCTGGTAGGCTGTCTTCTCGAAGTCATTCCTCACCAACAGCAGACCCCTTAGCAGCACAAATATTAACCCCATGGCTCAAAATTCAGTTCTGAAGAACTGCATTAAGACTAAAACAAGAGTGGAGCACTTGGGGGCGCCTGGGTGGCTCAGTCGGTTAGGCATCTGCCTTCGGCTCAGGTCATGGTCCCGGGGTCCTGGGATCAAGCCTCGCATCTGGCTCCCTGCTCGGCGGGAGGCCTGCTCCCTCTCCCTCTGCCTCCTGCTCGTGCACTCTCTTCTCTCTCGCTTCAGATGAATGGATAAAATCTTAAAAAAAAAAAAAAGATTGGGGCACCTGGGTGGCTCAGTCAGTGAAGTGTCCGATTCTTGGTTTCAGCTCAGGTCACAATCTCAAGGGTCATGGGATCAAGTCCCAGGCCAGGCTGCTCCCTCAGCGCAGAGTCGGCTTGGGACTCTCTCCACTCCCTCTGGCCCTACCCCCACTCTCTCTCTCTAAAATAAATAAATCTTAAAGAAAAAAAAAGGCAACCTAAAACTAAAACAAAGTCATCTACACAAAAAAATAAAGCAGGCATCCCAAAACACTTAAAGTCAGACAGATGAACACTGGCTGTGAGCATAGTACAATGGTCATACAGAGATGTTGAATCACTACGTTGTACCCCCTGACACTAATGTAACATTGTGCGTCAGCTGTACAGAAATTTAAAAATTTCAAAAACAAATCAAATCAAACCAAACAGTTGAAAATGTGGCCATGCAGCTTCTTGAACCTTTACTGGGTCTCATTTGCTTTTGATTCACTCTTTTACATTTTCTAAAAGGATCTGTACTTCTTCAATGTGCCTGACATTCACGCCGGCCACAAATAAGTATCAGATGAAAGACCTCACTTGCTACCTAGTCCCCAGCCTACTAAAATAGTGCTGTCTGATCAGGCATCTCTCTGCAGGAAACAGGCCTTCCTACGCAGGAAGCACAGGAAAGAGGACTGGAGACAGCAATCCCAGCGGCTTTTTTGCCAGAAAGGACAAAATGGCTCTTCTGGCAACTCCTGACTCAGGAAATCGCTGAATTAAGTAGTCAATCTGCAATGTAATTTAGCATGTCATCTGCTTCCTGGCAACAGATATTTGGAAGCATTTATATTTTATTTCAACTCTGTCATCATCAGGGTTAGAACGCCTTCTCTCTGAGGACCTCAAGGTCAGAGACTTTCCTGTAGTTTCTACACAGCCACTTCTTTTGGTTCTTCCTCCCCTTTCCAGGCCCCAGCAGTCTGGCCTCCCCTTTGATTTCGGTCTAGATCAAGCAAACCCTGGTCTTCAGAGCTAAATATAAGTTGTCTGGGGGGTGGGCGGGGGCCCACGCAGGTGGGGTCCCTGGAAAATAGACTTGCGAGCGTGCCGAAGAGTCAAGATGCCGCTGCACGCCCAGGAGGTGCCCGGATGAGGCTCGCTCGCCGAGGAAGGGAAGTGGACAAGACGTCCACACCGTGGGCTCCCGTTCCCACTTCGTCCTGGGCTTCTGTGTGACTTCGCGCAAACCGTGTCCCGCCCTGCTCCTCCACTTCTGCCTTTGCGAAGCGAACGTAACCAGCGCCGGTCGCCGTCTTCACTTGCAGACGTCGGATGGGCGTAGCCAGCGCCCTAAAGCTCTACGTACGCCGCACGTCACAAACGAACGTAGCCCTAACCGCCCGCGCGGGGGAGGCCGGGGGAGGCCGGGGGAGACCAGTGAACCCCGGTTGGGGGCGGTAAGAATCTGTACGTGGCTAGAGCAGTTTCTTACAGCTGGTGAACACATGTACCCACAAAGTACGAAAAAGCAAAGCTTGTAAAATATAAGCAGCAGGGCCATGTAATTCTTACTGTCCATAGACATTTCTAGATCTTTTACTACTCGGGATAATAATGGCTAGATCCAGATGCGGGAAGGCATCGAGAAGGTGGTGGTTCTTACCCGGAGTAGAGGTCACTTTGGCTCCTCGCTGGGCAGGGGCTTCCTGTGGCTTTGGGAACAGGGCTCAGGAAAGCGTGTCTCCATGTCATGAACGGCAGAAAAGAGATCTCAGCCCCAGACTCGTGAAGCACTGGGTTTGGAGTCTCCCAGGCTTCGAGACTCCTATCTGCCAGAAAACAGCTAAACCGGGACAGGGTGGGTCCTTCCAAATACATTACTGCCTTTGGTGCTCGTCGCAGTTCTGTGAGATAGATAGAATGATCCCATTTTACAGATAAGACTTAAATAGGCTAAACAATGTATCCACAGCTAATCAAGGCAGGAAGAGGTGGAGCTGGGATTTTCGCTCTGTTGCTCCGATCCCAAAGACTGTTCTCTTTCCATTAAGTGGATCATGCTATCTTCCCTGTGCTGTTTCTATTATTCTCTGCATTCTCTCTGAGCTTCCTAATTTGTAAAATAGAGATAATAATACCTAATTGTGACACTACTACAAAGATCAAAAGAAATTACATATGCGAGGGTACTGTGCAGGAATGCAGATTGTTATTCTCATAGTAATTTCGTGCAACAACCTTTATGTCTCTTTCATACCTCCGGCCTCGTTATTACAAACACATGGGGAAAGTTTATACTGGGCCAGGAATATGGATCTTGTTCAGCACATAACTGAAATCTCATTTTGCATTTCATTCACTTTAAAAAATCTACATATTTTAACCCAACTAAACCAGATTTTGCAGTATTTCATCTCAAGAGCTCTTAGAGATAGCCCATTCTATGTTAACCATTTTCTTCCCTTTAGTTTATTGCTTCAAAGGTCTCATTGAAAAACCCAAATGTACTTAAGGAGTGTCATATTCTTTAAGAAAAACCTAGCACGGAAATCAGATTATGACTAGTTATGACTTCCAATGCATGTGCAAATATCAAAATAGGAGCCTAATGAAATGGAGGGAAATGTCCTTACCCTGATTTTCTTTTAATTTTTTGTAGTCATTACCTCCCCAGCAGGGAGGGAGCAGTAATACACATCACCAGACCTGCACTGACCTTCAGGAAACAGGAATAAAACATAAATTGAGACGGCTTATGTATTCTTATAAACAATTTGTTATTCAAATTCACTAAAAAGGATATTTATTAGGCACACCATCCTAAAAAGCTTTCTATTAAGAAATAAATTCCAGAGTTTAGCATTTCAAAACTGCATAATTTGAATACATTTTTGAACCATCCAATGGAAAATAAGATTGATTCCACATGTGCAGAGCTTGTAAATAGCTCAGTAATTCCTTCACTGTTTCCAGACACAAACTAATGGCCTCCTTTTCTTGGTAGAAAATTAGGCTATTTTTTCAGGGTCAGGGCGAGAATGTGGGGGAGCAAGAACTATAATGGAAAAATGTAATTCACTCAGGACTGCAAGGCAGTATTAGAGATTATGTAAATCTTTTCTTCACAGGATATAGTTCCTGTGAAGAGAAAGCCCCCCCACAATTTCAGGGATTAGCACACAGCCATGTAGCAAGCTAATCTTTTTGTCTTGTTTCAAAAAACCTTTGAATTAGATTGTGTGCATTTAATACACTGACAGAAAATGGTAGTTTCAGGGAAGGGCACTAAATAAATAGATGAACAGGCTTAGCCTTACATAAAAATACTTCCATATTCAGGAGTTATTCGCCTTTTCTGGTTTTGAAACTCTTTAATTGGAGAAATGCCAGATCATGAGACAGAGGGTCAGAACACCTGGATTTCATCCAGATTTTGTGATCTCTAAATCATCTTATGCCTTTGAGTAAATCCCAGCAGCGCTCCCTCTGCTTGGAATATCCTACCACCCACGCTCTGAGACCCTGAGTTGATAGTGATTATTTATGGGCTTGCTGTGAGGATTAAGTGAGTAATACCTAATAGGTTAAGCACAGCACCATGCCAGGGTGTGATAAATACACAGTAAAAACTCATTTTCGGTTTTGTTGTTATTATTATTTAGACAATGGGCACTAACTAATGGGACCTTCCAGTTTCAACTCCACGGCCATGTCACTTAAAGGCAATCAAAATGGAACTAATTATCCTGCCTCCTCAGATATGAACCCACAAATGTCATTAAAATCTTTTCCATTTACTCTCTAGCATCCAAGCTCATGGATCATCATTAATCAGTTTAATTTCCTTTATTAAGAAAGATCAGCAGACTGCTTCAGTGTGGAAACATTCCCCACAGTCTCTTGGGGTCCATGGATTGTGTCCTGGTAATGATTTCCTCTTGTCACTTTTGGTGCTTAGCAACTGCAAACCTGTGAGCATCCAGCTGGGCCACTGGCACTCACAGAGCCCCTAAAGAGCTCCTGGTAAGGCCTGCTTTCCAGAAAGGTCCATAAGTGAGCTTTGCCTCACCTGGGCACTTTGAGTAGACAGTCCAAGAAGTCAAACTTATGAAGCCATGCAGATGACAAGAAGTGTGTGATATTGACTACAGATGTCCTCTCTGTCCCTCAGCGTCCTCCATGCCAATGAAAACACCTTCTACAACAGAAAATTCAATATAATTCGCCGGTAATCACAAATATAAAGGAAAATCTTTCTGAAATTATTGTAACTAGATTTGGGGCTTTTTTTTTTCCATCTTGAGATGGAAACAGAGATTTCTGTTCAAAGAAATTATTGTTCCCCTTCAAAAGTCACAGGAATTACAAGGTAAACGGACAGGAAAGCAAACAGGCCTAGTCTCAGGGGTCCCCTGAGTCCCATTCTTTAGAACAGGTACTTAGCATACAATTTCACTGACCCTGAGCCAGGTGTCATTTCAGAAAAATATGTTCAAGAAACAGAGATTGTTTCAGCAAGTTTCTTGCTCAATCGAAATCCATTTCATACTATTCAACTCTCTCTGGAAAGACCAAGAATCTAAGCACCCACTATTTATCAGTGCTCACTGTGCCAGGTACTGTTCCAGATGTTTGATTATATCAAATCATCCCATCCTCACAGTACCATGAGTGTCGTTACCATCCTGTTTCACAGATGGGGTGAGGTACAGAGATGGTAAGTCATGTGCCCCAGGTCACACAGAGCCACTACGTGATGGAGTGAGTATTTAAACCCAAGAGGTCTGGCTCCAGACTCGTCAATCTTAACCACTCAATTATATTACCTTTTCCCCCCCCCCAAAATGAAAGTTAATACCTTTGAAATTTGGGACATCCTATAGCATATTTCCACTAAAATAAAATTCTTAATACCTCCCTTTAGAATGTAATGGAAGGTGGTTATGTATCCCAGGAACCCAACTTATTAACATAATGAGCTATGAGTCCAACAACTTTCTATGTATACAACACATCAGTCAATCCACACATGTTTATTTTTCAACAAGTACAGTAGATAGATACATCTATCTATCCATATGTATATGTGCCAGATGACATTGCTCAGTCTATGCTTTCCTCTGCAACAAATATAATCCATTTCTCTGGGGTAATCACTACCATCAGTTACACAGGGACACTTTTTTTTTTTTTTTAAGATTTTATCCACTTATTTGAGAGAGAGAGAGCAAGGTGGAGGGTGGAAGAGGCAGAGGGAGAGTGGGAGGGAGAAGCAGGCTCCCCGCTGAGCAGGGAGCCCAACGCGGGGCTCGATCCCAGGACCCCGAGATCATGACCCGAGTCAAAGGCAGACGCTTAACCGACTGAGCTACCCAGGTGCCCCACACAGGAACACTTTTAAGGGCCTTTTATGCTGGCCTTCGCAAAGGAGGTGGAGTTATATGAGTTAACATTTGCACTCCCAGTCACATGCTCCTTTAGAGTTTAGGTGTTGGAAGTCAGTCATTGGAAACACACTGCTATTTATAAACTGGGAAGTCATATGGCTTCATCTGTAATGTTATTGCAGAAACTCTAAGCACAACAGAGAACTGAACGGGGGTCAAACCAATGATTAATCTCCAATCCATAAGATTGTAAGAAAGTTATTGATGAGGAGTTATTATCGAATGTTGGGAATAACCTGACTATTTATAGGCACCAAAGTCCCCCGGTCACTTCAGAGGTTAGGGCTTCCCTTTCAGCTGCTGTAAACACAGTTTCCTCCAAGACTCTGTTTATGTGTCTGCTTGTCAACCCAGCGCCAGTCACTGGCGCTCCCGTTTTTTACTGTTGCAGCTCCCGCATCCTGTTTATAGGCAGGGGGGATGACCAAGGAAGCAGAATTATTTTAACTCACCACAGCCTTGTAGAAAGCAGTTCTGGTTTGTTCTAATAAGACGATTCGTTCTTCACTTGGGCCCTTAGCCTAATCCCGATTTTCCAAGAGCCAGTGGCGTTTAGGGCGTTGGCCCAAGCGAACAAGTTGTCACTCTTCCAAGACCAGTGCTTCCAAGCCTGGATACCTAGAGTTACAAATCTCTCTTGACCTCCTCAAAGGATAGTGCACACTATCAACTCAGGATAAAGGAGCCTTAGTTCTAACAATGAATCTTGTTAGAATCACCCTGGGAGACTTTTGTGATGGTTGCTGTTGTTTTGGATCCCTAGCTAGCTAGTGAGTTGCTTGGGCCCCACACCCACCAATTAAACCAAGATCTCTTTTTCAAAGCTCCCCTTTGATTCTGCTGAACAGCCAGGATTATGAACCACTGCTCAGAAGTCAGTATCCATCACAAGCAAATTACCAAACAAATGTTACAGGTGTGATTAGGTCACATGGATCCATGCTAATCTTCACCCATTCCAGACAGTTTTAGGTGGCATGAGTTGGCCGTGCTGGATGGGTACAGAAAGCAACCCTCAAGCATAGAAGGCTGTATTGTGTAGTAGGATTCATCTTCCCCCTTCCGCAGATCCTTGCTGTAACCTAGTCCCTCTAGAGAATGGGATAAGCAAACTGAGGGCTAGCTTCCAGCACCCCATTAGCATAAAGAAGAAATCAGGTTTTGATCCTTACCATGAGATTCCAGTTAAGGGAAAGAATTAGGACACTCCCTTGAAATTCAGTGCAACCCCCTCCATACATCAAAAGGCAGTCTTGAAAAGAAATTATACAATGTCTTCAGTGTAAGTAAGAAAGGGAAGATCAGAGATTAAAGCTCAGAGGTCCTCTCTCTTGGGATGCCTTCCACCCACCCGGGGTATGAAATAGGAATCTTTGATAAAAATATAATGCTGCTGAAAATCAATTCAATTCAACTGAGAAAGAGCAGTGCAGTCTCTGACAGTGGGAGCCTGCCTGAAGCTCACAGCTGGGCCCTGTATTCTTCTGCTGGATGGAACATCTACACTAGGCAAGGCCATTCTGTGACCATGGTGGATCAGGACAGAGACAAGACCACTCCATAACAGCGTCTAAACATGAAAACACAAACAAAAATGACCCCCAAACCACCCCCCACACACCCTGACTAATAAGAATTACTGCTGCCTTATCAATTACAGTTTTAGCCTCAAGCTAGTCTTCCTTCCTTGTAGATAAGATGTGGGAAAATATCCAATCATAGAATCATCCCCACTTCCTGACAGTATTTAATCCCCACTTCCCTTAAACCCTCGCCCAAATCACCTAACACCAGCGCAGACCCTATAATTCATCACTTCTAGCACCTTCACAGTCCCGCATGGTGTGTGTCCTCCCTTACGGCAATTAACTGGTCTTGCTCACCTACAGGTAGATGTTTGGTGGTCTTGGCCAGGAGAACACTGTGAATGTTTTCTTCAAGCATCTAGTATATGCCACTTCAAGAACAAAGCAAATATTCCAAGTGTTCAAATGGATTCAGAAGGATGGAGCACGATCACATGATCAAGGCTACACAGGTACACCGATAAAGAGGTTCCAGACCATTCCCAAAAATTGCCAAGCAGCAGGTGAGACATAAGCTGTGCTTTGAGAGAGGAACAGAATTGGAAGATGGGGAAGACAGGCACACTGGCAATGGGGTAACACTCCACAGCTTCTCCTGGTTTAGGGACCTAAAGGTTTCATTCCTCTCTTCGTTCCACAGTTCCTCTGTTAGTATTTGACTTCATCTCCTTCTTGAAGGTGAATGATTTTAGAAGAAGCAAGGCACCTGATAATCTAACTTTTCCCATTTCCTTCTGTGTTCTGAATAAAGAAACAATGCCCAGTCCATTGTTTAGCCAAGTCCTGGAAACACTGTATCAGAATAAAATAATGCCTGTGTTCTAAGACTCTACTGGATTCATGACACACAGAATTAAAAAAATAATAATACATTAAAAGGTCACTGTTGACGTCATCCGGGAAGATGCATATTCATATATGAATAGGAGACTGTCGGAGAATCAGGCCAATAGAATAACCCCGCTACTAACTGCAGTTGTCTGAGGGTTTTTTCCTCTTTCTCCCTCTGACTTCCATTTCAGAGATTAATTGGTTTAGATGATCAGTCAAACAATACATCCTTGTGCTTTCCAAATGCACCACAATCTGCATATTTTATATATTCGGCCACCACTTTATCCTTTCCACAGTTCAGTGGGTCTTTTTTTTTTTTTTAAACAAAATTTAAGCTGTAGAAATCTCTCTTTTTTTTTTTTCTTTCAAATGAAACTTCACAGAAGCTGTGATGTAAAACAGAGTAAGGAGAGAGTGCTCTGGGTGAAGTGAAGGGGGGGGGGGCGACCCAGAGTCACTCTCCCCACCTTGCCTCTGTGCCCTTGAGGATCTAAGAGAAATGGCTGAGACTTTGAGGAACACAAGGCTAAATCGCTTGTATAGCCACGGCCCCTGCCTGTCAGTAGATAAAACCTGGGAACTGGCAGCAATGCAGATGGGCCAGAGGAGCTGAGATCCTTGCGATGTGGGAGAATACGCAGGTCAAAGGTTCGGCTCTCTGCAAAGCTTCCTCTGCGCCCCCTACCGCCTCCTCCGAGGTATTGCCGCACGTCCTCAGGAGCTTCCTCTCCGCTCTTTTCAACCAGCTCTCAAAAGGCAGCAGCCATTCTCTCCTGTCCTGACCCTGCGTATTACTTAAGTCTGTCCATGGGAGCCTCCTTTCGCTTCTGCAGCCCTAGCTGGGCACTACTGCCCTTTCTGGTGGACACTACCCCAGCCGAATCACCCCTTCAGCCAGGCCCTATAACCTCCTCAGCCAGGTGCCACCTGCCCATTCTTTCTTGCATAACCCTTCGGGTATGGGACCGAGTCATATTGCCTCTGACTGCCATGTCTTCTGGAGCCTTGAAGGAAACACGTCTTCAAGTTCTCACTTTAAGTTAGAGTACCTTATCATCGGGATGCAACTCTAACAGGAATCTATTTTGGTCTAGGAAATAAACCTAAGTAGCAGGTGTTACACCATAATGTCCCCTTTTCTCCATCCTCTACTCTATTTGGCTGTGCTTGCTCCCTAAGTGACCATACCCAGGTTCATGGTTTTAGACATCATGCATGTACTGAAGATTTCTAAATTTATACCTCTAGCCTCAATCACATTCCTAAATTTATTTTCACACATCCAACTGCCAATATGGTATCTACACTTGAATGTCAAATTGGTGTCTCAAACTGATATGTCCATATTCTGCTCTCCTCCCCAACCCCAGTGTTCCTCATTGCAATAAATGACACCCACCCTAGCACCTTAATGGGAATTAGGGCCCATGACCCTGACATAGAGAAAACTTGGAAGACCACAGGACAAGAGCCTCCACCATTTCATACGATTTGTTATGGCAATAGATGAAGCTGACTTCATCTCAAGTTTGCTGGTAAAACCTAAGGTGACAGAGTAGCCTGCAGGAAAGAAGTATATGAAATTCCCTCCTAAAATAGTAATAGGAAGAGAATTTATTACAATTATCTTCCTTTTGTGTGCGTGTATGCGAGAATCTCAAAGGTGCTATGAAGAGAATCATAATATAGAATGATAAATAATGTATTTTAAAGTGTGTGTTTAAAAAAAAACAAAAAACAAGTGTCTCCTCCTTTTCTAACAATAATTTCTCTGCCAGGTCTCAAAAGCAAATATAGAATGTACTTTAAATTGGTTGGTCCACCAACGCCCAAGAGAACCTCAGTAGCATTCTAAAACATGGGTGTTTTCATCCGCACCAGATCAGACCTGGTTACTTTGGCCACAGCAGCAATAGCAGTAAGTACCAGTTATTATTACTATCCCCATTTTACAGAGACACAAACTGAGGCCTGCACATGTTCCATGTCGAAAAGACCTGAACAGCCAGTAAGTGGCAAAACCCACCCTTGAACACAGGCCTGGTGGCCCCAGTGACATGGCTCCAGGCCACTCTGAGGCACCATTGCCTGCCCAAGTCATTTTCTCCTCGGTTCCCCTTTGGTTTGAGTTGCTTTAACTTGCACTTATTTAACCAGCTCTTCTTCAGTAAAAGAATTCCATGCTTTTGTTTAGAGCCGCAATGTGCCCAGAATTGCTTGCAACTAGGGGGGGGCCATGTGACTCCATTTTAGCCAATGTAAAACCAAGTCTACTGGTGAAGAGTCCCGGAAATAAAACCCTACTTTTTCTTTTTTTTTTTTTAATTTTATTTATTTATTTGACAGAGACAGAGACAGGGAGAGCAGGAACACAAGCAGGGGGAGTGGGAGAGGGAGAAGCAGGCCTCCCGCCAAGCAGGGAGCCCAATGTGGGACTCGATCCCAGGACCCTGGGATCATGACCTGAGCCGAAGGCAGTCGCTTAACCAACTGAGCCACCCAGGCGCCCAAAACCCTACTTTTTCTAACAAAAGGGGAAAATCTCAGCTGGCATGTGTCTTTTGTCCTGCGCCCTTCCCCCTTCAGCCCTTACTTCTCAATCCCTTTGGGAAAACAGAAAATTACTATTTCTTTATAGTATTGCTTTATCATATTTTTAATCCCCTTAGAAAAATTTGGTCGTTTGCAAGAAATTGGCAAGTCACAAAGAAATACACCCAAGATGGATCCCATATATGTGTATTCTTCAAGTCATTTGTTCCATTACTCTTTAAAAAAATGGGGACTACCAAAGTCCTAATAGTATATGTGGACTTAAAGCCATGCCAAACTTGAGACATTTTTTCCCGTCATTTCTTATGAAAACTTCTATATGAAAACAGGAAGAACACAGAACTGAGATCTCCTTACTCGTGATGCAGGGGCACTTCTGGGGATGCATGTGTGGCTCAGTGGGGGCCTGATTTACATCTCTATCTGAGGACATCTTGGAGCATTAGATAAAACCACTTTGGTTTCAGCCAAGTGGGTGGGTGAGGAAATAGTTGAATTACATCAAATTGTTAGTTGTCTGTTTTTTGTGTGTTTTTATTTTTTTTAATTTCACTGAATTCAACCATCTATGGATTTTACTTCTCTAAATCTTTCCCTTGCATAGTCACAGCCATATTTAGGAATCAAATCCATTTTTCATTCTGAGGCTCTTGATTCCTGATTCATCTCAGTCCACATACCCTGGCAAGCATCCACTCACACACACAGGCCATGCTGCAAATGTTGCTTAGTAAATTAGATGTTTGGAGTGCCAAACACATTTTCCCCGTATAAATTGTGTTACAGATGGTGGTTAGTTATCCGGTCCAGATAGCAAAGGCCTGTGTTCACACAATACAGGTGAATGATGATAGGAAAAAACTGAGAGAGGCTAGCTAGCTTTCTAGCCCTGTTTCCAACGTAAGGGGGAGGCTATTATAGGAGACTGGTGCGGAGGTGGGGTTCACTCACTGTGCCAGGGCTCCTCGCTGGTGGAGCCAACATTCTCCTCTGGGGCTTCTAACTAGAGGTAAAGCAGAAAGAGCTTGGCCAGAGGGGTAGCAGCTCCCACGGGGCGATGCTCATTCCATGGGGCACTAGGAAGAGGATGGTAGTGGCAGAGAAGCTTGGGTGTGTGGCCGTTCGCTCAGGCAGGCTGCTCATCATGCTGACAGTTGCAGGGGAGAGGCCACCTCAAAGCAAATCAGGAATCTGTCACCGAGGAGGAGGGGATGCCAGATATTCACAGGCAACCAGCCGTCTCTGACCCCACACATGTAATTTCAACTAATTACAAACAGATTAACCCAACACTAGATGTCATTCAGAGGGCAACTAAAATCCTGAATCAGAACATTTAAAATAAACTTTCGCTCCTGGAAGCGTATAGCTTTAAGAATAAAGGAACACCAACATCTGGTGAACTTCCAAGCACTACAGAGGTTTCCTTTTAATAGCAGTCAGAAGGCAAACCAGGATGTGTATATTTTTGCCATGTCTTGCTTAGGAAAGGGCCCCCACTTCCACTCCAAACTGACTTGTTTAGAATTCAACTTTCCCTCTACTCTGATTTCAAACTATTAAAACAAACGAAAAGAGCAAGGCTATGCCAAACTTGCAAGTGCTTTCAGATGGAAAACACTTCGTGCTCTCCCGTTCTCTCCGAAAGCCACAGGCAAACCAGGTCTCACAGCTGACCGTGAGAGAATGCCCCCCCGCTTTTTGAGTGGGAGGGAGGGGAGAATTGACTTTTGATAGAATAGGAGCATTTAATTTCAAATTTTCCCAGGGGATTTTCTATCACCGATGCTTCTCTATTAGTCTATTCAACCACTGGAGGGAGAACAAAGAGCCAGGAATAGCAGGTTTCTGACTTGGGTGCTTGGGCAGAGAGAAGAGTAAGAGAAAATGAGTTCAATATTAGATATATTTAGCTCATGGTGCCTAAGGGATATGCAAGTAGTTAAGCAAATCAAAATGAATGCCTGGCACTCAATAGATACATCTAGCTGGAGTTACTTTGAAAGTCATAAGGATATAAAAGTTACAGTCTGGCAGAAGTGGTTGTCTGGGAAAAGGGAGAAAAGGAGAGGGGACAGAACCTTAGGGGACCCCATCATTTAGAGCAGTGTTTCTCAAACTCAGATCTGCACATGCGTCACCGGGAGGAATGGGGTCTCGTCAAAACGCAGACTCTGACTCAGTCCGGCTGGGATGTGCCCTGAATTCTGCATTTCCAACGAGAGCTCCCGGGCATCACTGATGCTGCTTGTCCTTAGATCACACTTAGAGTTGTAAGCATTTTGAGGGCCGCAAATACAGAACCCATAGGGAAATAGAATTGGAAACATAGAAGGGGGTGGGGGAGAAAGAAGACAAAATGCATAGATTGGGGCTGTGGAAGAGGAAGGAGGAAAGGATTTCAATGAGGATGTGATCCCATGC